TTCTTCCCTTTTGGTTTTCTAACTCTAAATCTTTGCATATTTTATTATAGTATTTGGTTTTATCTTCTCGAGCTGATCTTTGAAATTTTCTGTTCAGCTGTTGGACCTCCTCATTTCTTCCATTTGCTTTAGCATCTCTACGCTGGAGAGCAAGTTTCAGAGTTTCCTCTGACATCCATTTTGACCTTTTCCTTCCTTCTTGTCTTCTTAATGACTTTTTGCTCTCTTCATGTAAGCTGTTTTTGATGTCATCCCACAACTCTTCTGGTCTTCGGTCTTTAGTGTTTAATGCATCAAATCTGTTCTTCAGATGATCTCTAAATTCAGGAGGAATAAATTCAAGGTCATATTTTTGCTCTCGTAGACTTGTTTTCATTTTCTTCAGCTTCAGTTTGAATTTGCATATCAGTAATTGATGGTCTGTTCCACAGTCTGCCCCTGGCCTTGTCTTTACTGATGATATGGAGCTTTTCCATCTTGTCTTTCCACAGATGTAGTCAATTTGATTTCTATGTGTTCCTTATGAAACTTACACTATGCTTCTATAATTATGGCATAATAACTATAAATTAAGAATTTTGAACAAAATACTGAAAAAGATCCTAAGAAGCTAGAAATAAGATAATTATATAATTAAAATAAGGCCTGAAAGTATTCTGATCAGTATAAACACAGGTGCTAATGGGAACATGACAAGATGTTTCCTAACCCAGGCTGGTGCCTGGGTAGGGTTGGAGAGGGGCAAAGCTGCCTACAGAGTAAAAACTTACTACCTAAGTTTTTAAGCTGAACTTCACTGGTTTCAACAAAACCTATTTTCTTCAGACTTAGGAACTAGCCTTTGTTCTAACTTTCTGAGATTTAATAACCAAAAATAAGGCTTAATCTATTGGTAGTATTTAAAGTTTTATATATTTTATTTATAAACCACCTTAATTTTTGGCTTTTCTCCCTGGAATAGACTAAAATTTTATTTCTTTCAACACCATGATGTACCTTACAAGATAAAAAAACAGACAGAGAGGGGAAAAAGTAACTTCTCCAGATTATACAGCTGGTAGCGTAGTGGTTAAGAATCAGGCTGTGAACCTTAAGGTCAGCAGTTAGAAACTACCAGCTGTTTCACAGGAGAAAGATGAGGCTTTCTGCTCCCATAAAGATTTACAGCCTCGGAAACCCTGTACAGGGGCGCTATGAGTCGGAACCAACTTCACAGTACATAACCACTACCACCAATATACAGGTAATTTTAATGCTTTCAGCAGCCTCTATGAACTGAGAGCTCCAAATTTTCACAAGAATAATTTGTCTCAGACCCTGTTCCCATTGTGTTGCATAGTTAGAGCAGACTGTTATTTCATTATTTTCAAACAAAAAGTTATTTCATTATTTTTAAAGAAAAAGTCTGTAACTCTAAAGCAAAGATGAGAAGTAAGGAAATGCAATGACTGGAAACGGGACAACTAGAAGGGAGATGATAAACATGCTGACACACTGAAAGATGTAACTAACGTCACTGAGCAATCTGTATACAAACTGCTGAACAGAACCCCAACTTCCTATATAAGCCTTCATCAAAACCACACAAAAATCCTATTTGGAAATTAAAAAGGAAAAGCCTGGAATATGTAAAACTCTTACCTGCGTCCAGTATGCCCTGGGCCAAAATAGCGCCAAACTTGGCCATGACATCATCATGTTTATCATTGATGACTTTGGAATATAGCTGTCGGAACTGAGTCACCTGAAGGAAGCAGAAAATGAATTATAATCCGAGTCACTTGCCCTGCCTTTTTAGAGCCAGGAATACATGACTCAAGTTCTGAATTTCACAAAATTTAAAAAGAGGGATTGTAAACCATATATGAATACGAAACAGTTTCATGTATCAATTCTATAGTTGAAATCATAGTGTTATGAGTTTTTATAGGAGCTTTGGTTGAGCAGGGGTTAACTGAGAGGTTTAAACTCACTAGTACGTCTGCCTCGTAAACCTTTGGAAACCCTATAGGACAGTTCTACTCTGTCCTATTGTTGTTAAGTGTCATTGAGTCAGTTTTGACTCATAGGGACCCTTAATAGGATTTCCGAGAAGCGGCTGGTGAGTTTGGACCACTTACCTTGCGGTTTAGTGCTAATAGTACAGCGCCACACCAGGGTGGCTGTAAGTTGGAATGGACTTGTTGGCAATGGGCTTGGTTTGGGGATGGGTTTCCTAACTGGTGGGGAGCGCCCGTTCTGGTTTCAATCCTCATTCCACAGTGGTTGAGTCAGGCTCGGGGAAATGCAGACTGTGATTTCTTATAGCACTGCTGTCTGTCAGCGGCTTACACGGTCCATGCCGACACACAGGCTGCACTGCATTAGGAATCACAGCTCTTCTGCTTACCATCAACCTTGCAGATTTCCTAACAAGAATGGGCCTTCAGTTCTACGTTAAAGTAAACGAACCTTTACCAGAGCTGTGTGAGGTATATTTTGGATTCACTGTGCTCACATATACAATACAGATTTTCATTATATATACACATTAATTTTCTGAGGACATGTCAAAATAAGTGTTATCAAAAGAAACAGACCAAAATGGAATGCACAGTAGGATTACTGATCATTTATGTTCGCATCTTTATTCTTTTTGGCATTTTCTAAAATTAATATGCATCACTTTTATAATTAGAAAATTATAAAGATAAGAAATATCAATAAATAAGGTGATTCCTTTACATCTTTTGGATGACAACGAGGAAACTACTGTATGTGTCTTTCAAATCTTACACTTCTCTGCTTTGCAAATGGTGGGTACCCAGGAGGAAGTCTGCTTGTTCAAAAATTCCATGACTAAGGAGCTCCCCACGTCGGCCCCAAACAGAAAACATCAAATTTGAGTTGTCTGGTATGACTTTGTCTGCATTGGATATTCTTTTGAAACCTCTTCTGTTCTTTTCATCCTGGCCTGAAAGGTCAGATTGCTGCAGCAGCAGAACATGACCGTTAAGAAGGCAAAGCTACAAAATCATAGAAAGTATCAAAATGTGGAGCATTTCGCAACAGATCCTGTCTCTAGCTCTCTCTGTTTTCTGAAAGCAGTGCTTCCTTCTCTCTAACCTCTTCTGGAAACGTGGTGTTCTCTTTGCTTTACACTGTGTCCAAACAGCAGTTGTGACATCCTCAAGGAACTCAAATTATGTTCCTTTTCAATACTGAGTCTGGGGAACAAAATGTGAGAAGGGGTAAGATAAGGTCTGTAAGGTGGATGGGGTAAGGTTTCCAAACAAATTGTTTGGTGAAACTTTCCTGGGTCGTTTTCTCATAACTTCAGTTTTCAATCTTCTTAGTATGTCCCCTTGATTATCCTATGCTCTTAGAGAAAATCTATCAAGATTACCCTTTTGGGATCCCAAGAAAGTCACCATAACCTTCTGAGATGACCTCTCTGCCTTGAACTTAACTGGCTCAACAGATGCCCTCAGAAGCCACTATTTTAATTGGATATTTTTTGGGGGAGGGGCAGGCACCTGAATGAGACTAAGATACCTCTATTACTTAGATAACTTTTCTGCAGCCATCCACTGATCACAGAGACATGCTGAGTTTGGAATAAACCCATGCACACACTGACTAGATTCCTACAGCAGTAGTTTTTAAACTAACCCTTATAATATGGACTCAGACAATTATGTTGCCTCTCCTCTTAGTAGCTTCGGTTATTTCTCGTAACATCTACCTCGCATGAGCGTTGTAAGAGTTACATCAGGCATATAAGACATTTAAGCATTGCTGTGTTAACACACTGGAGCAGAATTTGCTGGTTCTCCCTGATTATTTCCCATGCAACCTAAACATTGCTAACAAAATAATATGCCTTCGATATGGCACTCAATTTTTTATTCACAGGTAGGAAGCAATGGAATGCAGTGGGAAAAAATGAACTACTTCTGCCATCATTGATCAGACTGTTAGTAAATCAGTTACTTCTCTAGGCCCTACTTTCTCTACCTATAAAACCAGCCTGATTAGAGCAACACCAAATCCCTTCTAGTTCTAACATTCTAGGGTTTAATGCTTTTATTTTGGTTCAATAGACAAAACTTCTTTGATTCTGAACTTATTTTTGATGAACACTTACATTACCTTATATAGGGTGGAAATTTTATGTGCTAAAGGTTTATAAAATGTTTCATAAACTTGTAAAAGGAAAATACTGAGGAAAGCACTGTATGAGCATCATTGGCCAAGAATCTAAATACAGAAATATTCTCAAAACAATGGGAAAACACTCAGTGAAATTGAGACATGGTTTTTAAAAAATTAATGCAAATATATAGTGAGTTTATCCAACTAATGTTAAATCAAATACTTTTTTTTTTCCTTTTTCATAATTTTGGCCCATGTATGTATCACCACATTTTCAGCAAAGATAATACACATGTAAAAGTACACTCTGTCAAACCTGCCAGCATTTAAAATACCCATGGCATATAGCTTCCAGATTCATAGCAACACACAAGTCACTGTAGTATGACAAACTGACAGACGAGTGGTGAAAATATACATATATATAAAATACATTAAGGAGCAGCTGGTGAGCATGAATGGCCGACTTTGTAGTTCAAACTGACCTTGCAGTCCAGTGTATTAACCCACAGTGCCACATATACATATGGAGTCCAAGGCACTCTGGTAGCATGGTGGTTATGAGTCAGGCTGCTAACCTGAAGGTCAGCAGTTCAAAACTACCAGCCATTCTGCAGGAACCTTTCTGCTCCTGAAAACCTTTACAGCCTCGGAAAGCCTGCACAGGGTCGCTATTAAGTCGGAACCAACTTGAAGGCACTTCACAACAACATATATACGTATGTGTATATATATGGAGTCCTGGTGTGGCGCTGTAGGTTAATGTGCTGGACTGCAAAGTCGTTTTGAATCGCAAGGTCGGTGGTTCAAGCTCACCAGTCGCTCCTTTGAAATCCTACAAAGGGTCACTATGGGTCAGAACTGATTTGATGGCACTTAACAACAATGTGTATGTGTGGCACCAAAGGATACGTGGTGGTGGTGGTGGTGTGCTATGGAGTCAATTCTGACTCACAGCGGCCCTGTACAGAGTTTCCGAGGCTGTAAATCTTTACGGGAGCAGAATGCCTTTATCTTTCTCCCACAGAACAGCTGGTAGTTTCGAACTGCTGACCTTGTGGTTCGCAGCCCAATTCGTAACCACTCCGCTACCAGAGCTCCTTAAAGGATAAGTACTTGGCCTCAAGGTTGGTCTGAACCACAAGACTGGTAGTTCAAATTTAGCAATCACTCGGAAACACTATGCAGCGTAACTATGAGTCAGAACCGACGGCACTAAACAACTATATATATATGTATATACACACACACACACACATATATATATATATATATATATATATATATATATATATATACACACACACACACACACATAAAAGGAGCTCCGGTAGCGGCGCAGTGGTTATGAATTGGGCTGCTAACCTCAACATCAGCAGTTTGAAACTACCAGCTGTTCCGCAGGAGAAAGATGAGGTTTTCTCGGTAAAGATTTGCAGCCTCGGAAACCCTGTGAGGGTCACTATGAGTCAGAACCGACTCCACGGTACTTAACAGCAACAACACACACACAGAGTTTATTATTTATTTATGCTCAACCTGTATGGGAACCACTTTCTAAAAATAAGCTTTTATCATTTAAATTATTTTCTTATTATTTTATTTGATTGCTTTGTTATCAGAAAACTTTATGATTATTTTAATAATTCTTGGTCAAGAATTACTACTGTAGTAGATTTGGAAAGCAACTCTAAGGTCATCTAGTTTAATCTGTTTCATAGTTGTGAAAACAAAAGTTAAAGTAGATGAAACAACTTGCTTGTGATCACAGACGATGACCGGCAATCAGGGTTAGCATTATGATTTTTGGTTTTCCTGGCTACAGAAATGCATGAGCTGTTTAGTTTCTTATCTTTTCTTTTTTCTATGACATCACATCTATTCTAACGATTTTAACTATAGCTCTCTAAATCCTTCCTAGAATCCTTGAGGCCAGATATATTTCAAAATTCAGAAAGCTAATAGAATGCATACATCCTATATTAATGAAGCACTCTCAGTAGATTGTGGGGAAGCATCCCAATATAATTAAACTATTTCTGAAATAACTAAATGTATGACAATTCACATCAGGCAGGAGAAAACAGACAAGTGAGTTCACAGTGGATCAGGTCTTAAAGTCTAATGAGTCCTTAAAAAACCCCAACCTTTTCGTTGTTTTCAGAGCTTTCTAGATTTTGGAATTGCAGTCAATAAGCTGTGGACAGACATCCATCATTTCTTTGTGGCCAACTGCTGAAGACTTTTCCCTAAGCTCTCATCTTATCTCCAGCTGACTTGCAGTGATCTCAAACTCAACAAGCTCCAAATGCAAATGATCTTTACTCTTTCAAGACGTTCCTGCTGATGGTATGTGATTTCTCCATTGTCAGGATCCCAAATGATGTCACTAGTTCCCTGCACAATTGTATTAGTACCATTTTGTTTATGGTAGTTGCTCTTAGCCCTTACTTTTATTTTCCCCAACACTACAAGAGTCTCTAAGGTCCTATCTTAAAGCAACAGTATGGTAATACAGACAGATTTATTTTCAATTATGTCATGCTGTAAATTTCCTTATAAAGTTAATGGTTTGGCATTAGGAACACATTTCCCTACAGAGTATTTCTAGGTTACCATGATGGTTCTCAGACACACACAAAAAGCCTGATCTACCAAAACTGTGATATATTTTAAAAATGCAGAAGCTAAATATGCTTGTCTAACTGTAAGCCTGGTTCCAGAAAGGCTACTTGTGAGTGGTGGGAAAATGTTCTGTGTATCAGGCTTTTACGCCAGATGGTATTAGGCAAGGAGAAACACCAGGCCCTAGTCTTACGTATAATATTTTTATCTCATTTTGTATGTGACACATAACATGTACAAGTTCAAATAAGCTCTAAAAGTGGATTTAACAAAAACAAAAGATAAATCCTTCCATGAGGTCTATTATTCAATCAGAACAAAAGATCAATCCTTCATAAAGGCTGTTGAGAGAAAATAGCTCCAAAGACCTGAAAAATGTTCATATTCTAGTTAACTACAAAACAGAAAAGGTAATTTCTTACAAATTTTTAAAAAGCATGATCTCATTCAAAGCCTGAAGAGTACTTGTAAAGTGTAGAGCTGGCCATTCACAGGTGAACCACTGGTCTGAGGGCTCATATCGTGGTTTTGCAATCATCCAGGAATGGGAGCATGTATGTGTATCTCTGTTTGTGAAAGACTGTTTTCTAACTGGCAGAAACAAAGGATAGATGTGCTGGACTTATTTAAACTAACCACGTGCAGAGCTGAGTGTTCAGACGGTGTTCTGTAAAAGGATGTCCCATGTATTGTATAAAAACATTTTCTTAAAAAAAAAATTTCACTGTGCGCCTAACAAAACATACGAGAAATGTCCTTTTTTGGATTTCTTTGATCAGGAGTTACAATCCTTAATGAAAATAAAAATTAATAGTTGATGTTTGCTTTTGAGGTGTGTCTAGTTAAAAAAGATTATTCTAACTACACAGCCGTCCCAATCCTACCACTAACCCCAGAAGATTCTGCCATCGGTAGAGCTGAGCTTGTGGCTGTCAAATTCATGAATCCTACAGCAGAGGATGATGGGAAGAGGGAAAACATTTATCGTGTTGACAATTCCAGTAACATGAAAGCAACATGTGAGGTCAGAGTGGATAGCTGTTTCTACATTACTGTTAGAGGAGGTGCATCCCACGGCCTAAACTTGTTTCTTTAATGACATATAATGAGTATCAGCTGGACAAGCTCCAAAGCAGATCAAACGCAGAAATAAAAGATGCAAAAGTTACTCACATTATGACTGCTTCATTTTAAAACAAAAAGAAATGTGGCTTGTACTTGGATGGATAATTATGCCTTAGAAAATATAGTACATTAATATAGTATTTTAACAAAAGAATGAAAAGTCTGACTCTTTCTAATAATTCAATTTTTAAAGTTCTGAAACAGTTTAAAATAAAGATCTGGATAAATGAAACAAAAATGATAGCAACTGCTTAGAAAAGGAAATTTATTAAAGCAGAGTTCCATACAATAAGAATGAATCATCAATATATTACAGAAACTATTTTCTTTTCCACCTCTGTCCCCTAGTTTACGCTGCTGCAAACAAAAGTGTTCTGCATCTGCTTGATGAGGGAGAAACACACAATAATTGTGTTCTCTCTTGTCAATTTTTTGAATGTTTCTATTACATGAGCAAAAAATTACAAAGGCTAATTTGAAATTATTGTATAAGCAATATACCAAACATGGTGATTTTTAGTACCCATAATTAAGATGTAATAAGCATTCTCTGTCTCTAATAGGATATTAAATGAGAAGTTTTGGACGAGGTGTCAAGAAACATTAAACATCACACTAATGTGAGGTCTGACAAAGTGAGAAAATTAAAAAAATCTGTTATGAGGCCATCCGAAGGGTGCTTTATAAGGGCTGGATTGGGGGAAACCAAGAAGAGGATTTCTTTAGGGGAAGCGGGGCTGAGATTCTTGCCACTTCAGTCCAGATCTAGAGAAAAGGGCTTGTCTACAGCCACACCACCCTCAACGAGCTGAATCTCATATGATCTTGTATGCTAAGCAGTCAGGTCTGGTTAGTACTTGGATGGGAGAAAGGAGCATAAGAGGGATCATTTGGAGATGTTGTAAGGATTGGGGACCACAATATCTGACACATAAGGGGCTCAAGCTGAAAGAGAAGAGAGACAGGACAGACAAACAAGAAAAATTGCAGGAGTGTTTGAGGAGCAGATGGAGGTCAAGTAAGAGAGCAAGTCATCCTACAGACATCTGAAATGCTGCCAAAGAGGACAGTCCAGGAGGCTGAAACATTCCAACAGAGACTCTGGACATGCTCATTGCTAAATTGAGATTGACTGTACCATATCAAGTGACTAGCCCTTTTTATTACCTAAAAGGGATGGATTACAAAGAGCTCCTAACTGACTGAGCTTACTCTGAATCAGAGGAAGATGTTATTTCACTGAATAAACTTTAAAGGAGCAGTGTGATGCAAAAAAGAAGGTGGCTTTTATGATTTCACCACCCCATGTTGTAGTTGTTAACTGCCACTGAGACCATTCTGACCCACAGTGATCCTGTATAGGATTTTTGAGGAACAGCTGATGATACTGTGTGGTTCTCAGTCCAGTGCTGATTCTACAGTGCCACCCCATACAATACATCCTCATTTTTCAGTAATAGATATATCTGCAAATTAACAAAGTGACCTTACATCTGAAACACATATATTTAAAGTGCTTTATGCCCTTAACATTTCTGCATTCGTCTCCTGTGCAAATGTTCTCTTCACTGTTTATAACTCTAGTTTTTATGAGATTTGAAGACAGTTATCTAGAAGAACCTGACAGCTCTCTCCTTGTGCAATCCCAACAGAATGTCTCTGTACGCTCACCTTTGGACACGTAATTTCAGTCTGCTGGATCATGATGAGAGCCGAAGCGATGAGAGCACCTTGCCTCACGTAGTTCACAGGATCATTTGTCATTGGTTCTAACAAATTAATTGCTTCCTGAAAAGATTTGTAAAAAGCTTTAGAAGTCGACAGAGCTGGATTTAACAAATTACTTACTATGTTCTAGGAGTCTTGGTGTGGTGCTGTAGGATAGGCAATGGACCGTTATCCGTAAGATTGGCGGTTCATCCAATTCCATTGCCCACCTGTTGCTCCTTGGAAACCTTACATAGGGTCGCTATGAGTCAGAACCAACTTGACAGCACTTAACAACAATTCTAAGGCAAGACTGACTGATATTTTCATCTAACAAAATAAGAAGTTAATTTTAGACATTTGAATATAATAGTTCAGAACTGGCAGTATATGTTCTCAATATACAGTGTGTTGTTGTGTGCGTTGTAGAGCTGATTCTGACTCTTAGCAACCCTGTATAGGGTTTCCGAGAGTGGCTGGTGGGTTTGAACTGCCAACACTGCAGTTAGCAGTCTAGTGCTTATCTTACAGTGTCATACCAGGACTTCAATATAGATCTTCTACTGTAGAATTTCATGAGTGCTCCTTCCTGTGTTAGGCTAAAAGAAGGCATAAAAAAATGCTTGAACTGCTGACAAAGAGATTTCATTGGGTACATTATTGTCAGTTGCCTACAAGTCTATCCCAACTCATTCAGAAGCAGTTTATAGACATTCATCTTTCTTTTGTTCTAGACATAACTGTTCTAGTTTGTTGTTGTTAAAGTGCCATCAAGTTGGTTCTGACCCATACTGACCCTGTATAGGGTTTCTGAGGGGCAACTGGTGAGCTTGAACTGTCGATTTTGTGGTTCCAAACGGACTTTGCAGTCTGGCACATTAACCCACAGTGCCACACCAGGACTCTACTATGTAAATCTATGCAATTTATATAGATTATTCCATAAAATCCTCTAAACATCTTAAAAGAAAGGCAGTGTACTTCTAGTTTCATAAATAGAGAAACAGAGCCTGGCTAAGTAACTTGCCCAGGGTCACATATAAATAACCTAGGCCAGTCTGCATCCAAAGTCTGTATTATTTCCAATATGTGGTCAACCTCCTTCAAGCACTAGGAGAAAAGGAAATGTCTTACATTTTATTTGCTAGTAGGATGGTAAAAAAATTAAATCAAATAGAATGAGATTTGATTTCACAGTTACCTTCTCAAGACCACATAAAATGGAATTTTCCAAAATGTTTTTCAACACTATCCCAATGTCTAATATTCATCAGAACATTAGTTCTATGAGAAAAGAACTCCTTGGTTAAATAAGTTTGGGGATTTCTACACATTATACAATTGCCTCTTGTAGATTCAAGTCTACATTTTCACATAAATGCTCTTGGGAGGCTAATAATAAACAACTCAAACTTTGACCAATTGTATTTGACCAAGAATTCCTTTGTCCCATATAACTCCAGTGAATACGCTGTAGGACACTGGAGAAGTTTCACTGTATAATGCTCCTGACAGGGTCCTTGGGCAAGTATAAATCTGGGAGAAACAGAGAAATGGCTTATAACTGGATCAAACTTATTTCTTAATTCAGGATGTTATTTATCAAATGCCCTATGGAAGAATAGATGGAATCCTTTTTTGGAAAACTACTTTAGACTTCATTTCATGAAGACTTCTTTTAAAAATAAATCAAAACTATTAATGGATAATAAGGAACCCTAGTGGTACTGTGGTAGCTAGCGTAATGGTTATGAGTTGGGCTGCTAAGCTCAAGGTCAGCAGTTCAAAATTACGAGCTGTTCCACAAAAGAAAGATGAGGCTTTTTACTCCTGTAAAGACTGACAGCCTTGGAAATCCTATAGAGGGTCATTATGAGTCAGAACTGACTCCATGGCACATAACCAGCAATCACCACCAGTGGTGCTGTAAGATAAGCACTGAACTGATAACCACAAGGTCTACAGTTCAAATCCACCAGCTCTCTGGGAGAAAGATGAGATTTTCTGTTCCCTATACATTGTTGCTACAAGTCAGAACTCATTCTGTGGCAGCAATGGGCTTTTTAAAAAACTTTAACTCCAGATATGTGTATCTTCTCTACCCACTTCACTGAAAAATGGACTATAATACTGTGCAACAGAGTAAGTTTTTTAAACATTACCTACATACTATTAATATTTTTTATGAAATGGCCATTATAAAAATATAATCAAAATTCTAATTTATAAGTTTGAGGTATGTGATATAACCTCAAAAACATATTTTAGAATAAATAAATGCTTCAGGTTTGTAAGAAACAAAGCTATTTAAAGGACCAAACTTCAACCAGATAGGTACTGATATCTACACATCATATAATTTATCTAGAAATAAAACTGACTTCTTTAGAATGTGGAATAAAAATCTTTCATAGAATTAACTTGTCAGTCAGATGCTGTGTCTTATATCAGTGTTATAATAATCTGGGATACAAAAATATTTAATTTACATTTAAAGATCTGAGAGGGGAAAAATACTTAATGAAACACCTAACCATATTTTTACTTTGTTATAGTTCTGATGTGGTGTTGTGGGTTAATGCGCCAGACTGCAAAGCCAGTTGAACTGCAAGGTCGATAGTTCAAGCTCACCAGCTGCTCCTCTGAAACCCTATACAGGGTTGCTATGGGTTAGAACTGACTCGATGGCATGTCACAACAACATAGAACAGATGTGTCTATAAACTGCTTCTGAATGAGCTGGGATAGACCTGAAGGTAACTAACAATAATACACACCCAGTGACGTCTCTAATAAAACTGAGATGTGGTCTTATTTCTTTATGAAATCTCCTGAAGAACTGTGTTCTCAAATAATCATCTCACCTAACCAAACACTCTTCTTTTTTGCCACTTTTAAGGACTTACCAAATACTGGATTATGAGGGGGCTTCAAAAAGTTTGTGTAAAAATGGAATTGAAAGATAATGGAATTTTCCCAGAAACTATTTAAAGTGCCTTTGTATGTTAGAAAAAAAGAGTTTATTTGGGGACCAGCTGAGTTTATAAGAAGCTTGATTTCCATAGACTAACTGAGCAAATGAAAGAGCTAAAATATCCATAATAACCAGAGTAGCTCTTCGAAGTAAAATTTTATTTTAAAGAAATCAGTGCTTTAAAAAGAAATCCAATAGCACCATTTAAGGTTACAGCTATTCATGAAATGTGGCTGTTTGTTCTGAAGTGGCTCAGGGCCATCCAAACGGTACAGTCAGGGAGTATAGGGCAGCTCTGTGAGGCCACTTAATCCTGACAGATCACTACACATTTATATTTTTACAGCTGTTACACAAACGTTTCTGCAGGGGAACAGAGTCTGGCGCCATGAAAGAACCGACCCTATTGGCTCTGGGCTCACCTTGTTCCCTGTACCAGCACAGCAGATCCCCAGGGCCATTGCAGCTCCGTAGCGCACATGAGGATTGTAACTCTCTGACAACAACGACACAACACTTGGGCACTGTTCAGGGGTCCTAAGAAGAGAAAGTGAAGGCAGTGTGAAAGGAGACCCATTTTAACTCAAAAAAAGAAGAATTTCAATCATTTTTTAAAAAGTCTTGAGAAATACAAGAGTAGTGTGGAAGCTAAAAAATTACAGACACTCCATAGAATTGATGGACTACAAATTGAAATATTTCAACAAACCGATGCACCAACAGAAGCACTGCTGAAGATAACTCAAATCTGGTTACAACAATACATCGACTGAGAACTGCCAGAAATTTAAGCTGGATTCAGAAGAGGGCATGGAACTAGAGGTTGGTGTGTAAATTTAAATATAGGAGCATTAACTAGTCATTAAGTGACATGACATGGACCTTGGCAAAAAGCAGAGAATACCAGAAAGATGTCTACTTGTGCTTTATTGACCATGCAAAGGCTTTTTACTGTATGGATTATGACAAACTATGGGTAACATATTGCAGAACGCTTAAGTATGCACATCAGGAACTTGTATACAGACCAAGAGGCAGTCATTAGAACACAACAAGAGGATACGGATTGTTTTAAAAATCATCAAAGGTGTGCATGTGAAAGTTGGACAATGAATAAGGGAGACGGTAGAAGAAATGATGCCCTTGTGTTATGGTGCTGGAAAACACTGAAAGTACCATGGACTTCCAGAAGAAGAAGCAAATCTGGCAAGGCTTCATCTCTCATACTTTGACATGGTAACAGGACCAGTCCCTGGAGAAGGTCATCGTGCTTGGTAAAGTAGAAAGTCAGTGGAAAAGAGGAAGGCCCCAACAAGATGGATTGATACAGTGGCAGTAGCAATGGACTGAAACGTAACAATTTTGAGGATGGCACAGGATCGAGCAGTGTTTCCTTCTGTTGTGCACAGATGGAATCCAACTAGAGTACCATAGGGAACTTCTATTACTTAGTAAAAGCCAAAAAGAACCAAGCTAAATTCATACCAGGAATTAAACATCAAGTATCTTCTATAAGGGTTGTGGCATAATGGGTAAAGCGCTGTTAAAAACATAAAGCCCTTCTGTGCTTCCACTCTCTCTCCCTTCAAGTTTATAGTTCCGCTAGATCATCAAACCAACTGAGCATCTGGGACTGTTTCTTCATAAGGGCTGAGTGTATTACTTTTATCTCTGGAGTTTAGAGTAGGGAGAGCACATGGAGGCTGAGAGAAGGCCTCACAGGTCATATCTATACCATGACTTAAGGATACGTAGACTTTGACAGAATTCACAGGAGATGATTCTATGGTCAAGAGAATGAAGCTTGAAGCTGAGAGGGGAGCATGAGGAAAAGTCAGTAGATATACTGTGTTGGCCTTTGTATACAGGATTGTGGTGGTGGTGGTGACGGGGTGCCGTGGAGTCGATTCCAACTTATATAGACCCTGCATAGGGTTTCTGAGACTATGTATCTTTGTGGGAGCAGAAAGCCTCATCTTTCTCCAGCAGAATGATTGGTAGCTTCAAACAGCTGACTTTGAGGCTAGCAGCCCAATTCATAACTACTACACTACCATTTCAACCATTTCAAGAGATACCATATGAACAAGAGCCAATGATACTCAGGGAGGAAGTCCAAAGTGCATTGAAGGAATTGGCAAAGAACAAGGTACC